GGGCGGGTGAGAATAGCCACTTTCTTCACAAAATTATTATCAAGGCCATCTCTATTCTCACCCGGGGTGAGAATAGCGCTGGCGAGTCTTTTGGCTATTCTCACCTGGTGTATGTTCACCGTTATAGCCTAGATCTAGGCCAACCAATTTTGCGTTCACCCTGAACCACAGAATTCTACACTGTGATAACAGAAAAATTGTAGAATTCTGTGCCGTGAGCTTGTACGTTCCATTACTATTGGTCTATTGTTAGCCTAAAAGCGTACAATTTTGTCTGTGGGCAGTGGAGAGAAAAAGAGAGAGAGAGGAGTAGCGCGAGAACTTCCGGGCAGACAAAATGGTAATCAGAAAGCGACAGAGAGAGAGAAGAGGGGAGGAGTAGATCTTGCGAGAACTTCCGGGCAAAACAAAATGGCGACCCGCGTAGTTCGGCTCGATTCGAAAAGTGAAATAGCCATAGATCTTTGTAGATGGTCAAATTAGCTTACTTTTGTGCTGTAACGTAATTTTTTCTTTGCTTTTATCCATTTGATCATCCACACTGATAGAAAGTGTATTCCAAAATTAGGAAAAACACGTCTTGTTTCACACTGAGTGAGCATAGCCAAAGGTGGCAAGTCTCACCCGGAGTGAGAGGTCGATCATATTTATATTCTCACCCCGGTTGGGGATAGCCACTTCCTTTACCATAATTTGATGTTTTGCAGTTAGGTTGCATCCGTCCTTTGTGTTGCCTTTTTGGTCATCAAGGCTTCAGGATTTCTTCTCTGGATGTAAACAAATGGATCGGGGACTTAAACGAACGGAACTCTACAAGATCACCATCTCGAGAATGGAAACCGATCGGAGAAGTAGAGTTCAAGTTTATTTTCCCGAACGATCGGAGAAATAGAGCCGGCCTTTTTATAAATTTATGGAAGTGGTTGTTCTCACCCCGAGTGAGAATTTATGACCACTTTCATAATAATACGGTCGACCTCTCACCCCGGGTGAGACTTGCCAGCATTGGCTATTCTCACCCGGTGTGACCTGTTTTTCCTAACTTCTGAATAGATCTACTCTCTATCGGCATCAGTGTGGATGACACGGCACTCTGGCAGTGGAATTTTAGTTGGGAGGGGACCTTATCACGTCGGGGTCACGTTCATTTACACATGTCCAAAAAATTTTTTAGGTCAGCCCAGACAGTTTAATCTCCTCCCGACCCTTGTTAGACTATATATAGATCTAAATGCAATTTTTTATTGGTAGATCTAGTGTCAATTGCCACTGAGTAAATTGGAGCTCTTTTGCGTTGGTGAGTAGATCTAGCATATATATGCTCGATGTTCTGCATTCGTGAACTTCCGCTTGTTTCTGCACACCTCTCTGTGCTTTTTCGGTAGTTCCCACCCCTCTTATTTGAACCTAGATTTAGATCTATAGGCCATGTTTGATGCGCGGCAAACGAGAGATATCAAACCTAACAGCAATCAAATTATGGTAAAATGCCCCCCGCCCTTCCATATTTTTATTAGATTTCCAGTTGTCTCACTGAAACCCCCGTAGGTCTACTCTTGGGGCCAAAACCAGCGAATAGTAATGGGGGGTGGGAACTACCGAAAAAAATGCCCCCCTCTCTGTCCCTGTGTGTAGGGTCTCTCTCTGTCCCTGTGTGTGGGGTCTCTCTCTGTCCCTGTGTGTGGGGAGGGGGGTCTCTCTCTGTCCCTGTGTGTGGGGAGGGGGGTCTCTCTCTGTCCCTGTGTGTGGGGAGGGTGGTCTCTCTCTGTCCCTGTGTGTGGGGAGGGTGGTCTCTCTCTCTCCCTAACCCTCGTCCCCCGGATTTATGTTCCCTGATGTATTTAATTTATAAAAGCGTATTTCTGCTCTAGCTTTTTTGCGGCCTACTTCTAGAAATCGCCTGTGTTGGTACTACACTGAAGCGTAATCATTGGGCTAGCCTATGTCTCATTCAAAACACGCCAAGTTGAAGTTGGTAGCTCTAGATGCTCGTCCAATAAAATTAGAGAACAAATTGACCCACTTAGGCATGAGGAGCTTGAAAGGATAGCCAGGAAACAAGACTTCCATTTTACTGTAAACAAAATCTTTCAAATGAGCTTGAATTTATATATGCAAAATGACATTACCTACCTGATAAAAATAAGTTTATAGGTAGTTTTGAATAGCATTGTGATTGTGCAGGTAAAAAGAATGATTTGGGTGCAAAACATGAGGAAATTAACCTCTATACTATTTCATTTCCAACCCCGGAATGTGTGTAACTACTCGTTATGACTTTTCAAACAACTTATGAGAGGGGAGTAGATCTTTAACTTATTCATGTGTTCACAAAACGTTATGAATAGAAAGCTAAAGATAAAGCGTTGTTTTCAGACTTGACACCGCTTCACTCGCTGGCAATTGACACTACCTTTTTTATTTTATGATTATTAATATTGATGTTATTAGATGTAATATATTATCTCCCTGGCTAGTTCTTGTATGTAATGTGAAATAGAGATGGATAATGTATGTATTCAGTAACACTCAGTGTCCAGAATAAAGTGCTGTATTTGTAGCTTTTCAACTCCTTATCTCCGACTAGCAGCTCCCAGCAACTTGTGGTCAGAACTGCGGTCCCGGTGTTCCACAAGCAGGGGCTCAGTCACTTCCTTTTTGACGACCTCAACGCTATGAATATTAGTTTTTAGCATTTGCCAAAAATAGAGATCTCTTTTTCCATGAGTTCTCTCATTTTACGAACTGTCAAAATAGGTTCATTAAAAAAATAATTTAGTTTTCCAATTGAGGGACGTGTATGTCACTGTCCTGTTTTATACCCAAAGAGGGCCCCAGCGCAGTGGCACAGTGGGGAAAACCCCCTCCGAGGATGAGTTGTGAGTTACGTGCCTGTTTACTTTCACTTTTTCAGTCTGTCCATCCTATTGTGAGTCTGTTATACTGTTTTCCTTCACGATTTTGTTCACTTTTATGGGACTGTTGTCTTTTTTGTGAGTGACTCCATATCGATTTGATGCCATGCTCCGTCTTTTGATTTATTTCAGATCATTTGGAGTGTCATCAACGGCTCCTTCTGTTCCTTCAAAGTAAAGTAAGTCAAAGTAAAGTTGGTCAAAGTAAAGTAGGTCAAAGTAAAGTAGGTCAAAGTAAAGTAGGTCAAAGTAAAGTAGGTCAAAGTAAAGTAGGTCAAAGTAAAGTAGGTCAAAGTAAAGTAAGTCAAAGTCAAAGTTGTTCTCGTGGACGGGGATGGGAGGCTTTGTCCATCGTGATAAGTTCTTTGATAGTCTGAATGTTGTCCCCTGTTATGTGCTTATGTCTTACACATGCACAAAACTTCAACATATGCACGCACATAACATTTTGTCTACTGTTATGTGCGTGCATATGTTGAAGTTTTGTGCATGTGTAAGCTTTGATTAAAAGACTTTCAGATAGGCTCTGAATAGCCAGCCTTGACAAAAATAGTATTAGGAGGTTGGCGGGTGCTCTGGGGTGGTTTTGTCCCTCTTGCCTGTTAAGTGAAATGTCCGTCGTCCATCGCGTCCTTCTCTCTTTCTTTTCTTCATTTGGCGTTCCTTTTTTAGTTACACCTACTTCTCGGCCCTATAGAAACAATCGAATTGTGTTGAAAGTGCCGTAAAAACTAAACTCAAACAAAATTGAAAATAATGTTTTTCTTTGGTTTGTAAAATTTGTTTGTTTTGGTTTGTTTTGTTAAAGGACATTTTTATTAAATCGTATGAATGAAGTGTTTGGAATTTGAGAAGAGATTTTTTCCTGTGGTTTTTGTCCTAAAGCTTACTCCAGCCCTGCAGTACTCTGTATAGTAAGTAATACATTTCTATTTTAGTTGCAATGTTGATCACGTTTGGCTTTGTGATTTATTCTACCGTGGTTGCGATTGTATTCTCTCTTTCAGAACCAAAAGTCAGAAGTTTTGCAGAAATGAGTACAGTTTGACAGGCTTGTGTAACAGATCAACATGTCCGCTCGCCAACAGTCAGTACGCCACCGTACGGGAAGAAAATGGTGAGTCCTTCCTGCTATAGGTCATCATCATCATCCCCATCGTCATCGTCGTCATCATCATCATCATCATCATCATCATCATCATCACTGCCTTTCTCGCCCTACATCAGGGTATAGGTGAACAGACACTTTCTCACCCTACATCAGGCTATAGTTGAACAGACACTTTCCATCTTTCCCTTTCTCGGGCTAGCCTCTTGGTATTATTTCATGTCTTCCCACGTTTCTGTACATCTTTCTCTGTGACCCTTCTCCGTGTTCCACGTGGCCTTCCCCTTGATCTACCACAGTACAGATCCCAATCCAACGCTTTCTTTCCTGTCATAAGTGTCAGCTTCATATTGGCCGCCAGCCATTCTCAGTGTCTGTCGCTGGAAATTACTAAATTCACCCTTATGTGAGAGGTGTAACTCTCATGAAGTTGAAGATTAATTTCACTTTACTTTCTGTTGTCCATGCTTTGTCCATTTAAGGAAATTGTTAATTTCTCACAAACTGACTCGGCCCAGTGACAGAAATATGCAATGTTTGACCCTTGATATGAGATATGTGCACAGCCTGTACTTTTTCATTATGGAAACTTTATTTAACCCTATCCGTACTTCGTATTTTACTATCGTATCCATACGACGTGGGGGAACTCTGTGCCACCACTTTCCTCAGAGGAAATTTACTCGTTAATCAGATCCGTATGCTTTGTATAGCTGTCTGTCAAAATGAAAAATGCTAAGAAATGCTTGCTGAATTGTCAGAAAGAAAAAGTTTCTTTTCATTTATGAAAATGACCATGTGTTTTCCCTATCTTTCCCTCCGTACAGGCGTGTGTTACCTGTATATGAAGACCATCGAGAGGGCAGCGTTTCCGCGGCGGATGTGGGAGAAAGTGAAACTGTCGAGGAGCTACGCCAAGGCCTTGAGGCAGATTGATGAACAGTTGATCTACTGGCCTAGGTGGGTGTGTGTGTGTGTGTGTGTGTGATGAACAGCTCATCTACTGGCCTGTGTGTGTGTGATGAACAGCTCATCTACTGGCCTAGGTGTATGTGTGTGTGATGAACAGCTCATCTACTGGCCCAGGTGTGTGTGTGTGTGTGTGTGTGTGTGTGTGTGTGTGTGTGTGTGTGTGTGTGTGTGTGTGTGTGTGAGTGTGTGTGTGTGTGTGTGTGTGTGTGTGTGTGTGTGATGAACAGCTCATCTACTGGCCCAGGTGTGTGTGTGTGTGTGATGAACAGCTCATCTACTGGCCTAGGTGTGTGTGTGTGATGAACAGTTGAAGGAGAGGGGAGGGTGGCAGTAGTGACTGAGTGAGTTATACACGTGGAAAGGGGGGGG